TGTATGTCCTGTTTGGAGAGGTGTCTATTTAGTTCCTCTGCCCATTTTTTAATTGGTTTCTTTGTCTTCCTTTTGTTGAGCTGTATGAGCACTCTATATATATTGGAAATTAACCCCTTGTCTGATATATCATTGGCAATTATGCTCTCCCATACAGTGGGTAGCCTTTCCGATTTGATGATTGTATCTTTCACTGTGCAGAAGCTTTTGAGTTTGATGTAGTCCCATGTGTTCATTTTCTCCTTTGTTTCTGTTGCCTTAGGTGATGTATCAGTGAAAATTCTGCTGCGTATAATGTCTGAAATTTTGTTGCCTACAGTTTCTTCTAGGATTTTTATGAATTCATGAGTCACATTTAACTCTTTTATCCATTTTGAATTTATTCTTGTGTAGGGTGCAAGTTGATGGTCTAGTTTCATTTTTCTGCATGTAGCTGTCCAATTTTCCCAGCACCATTTACTAAAGAGGCTGTCCTTACTCCACTGTATGCTCTTGCCACCTTTGTCCAATATTAATTGAGCATATAGCCTTGAGTCCATTTCTGGGTTCTCTGTTCTGTTCCACTGGTCTATATGCCTGTTCTTGTGCCAATACCAGGCTGTTTTGATTACGGTGGCTTTGTAGTATAACCTGAAATCTGGTAATGTGATTCCTCCAATATTGTTCTTTCTTTTCAAGATCGCTGTGGCTATTTGAGGTCTTTTTTGGTTCCATGTGAACTTTTGAAGTATTTGTTCTAATTCTGTGAAGTATGCCGTTGGTATTTTGATGGGGATTGCATTGAATCTATAGATATCTTTGGGTAGTATGGACATTTTAATTCTTCCAATCCATAAACAGGATATGTGCTTCCACTTTTTTATATCTCCTCTATTTCTTTTTTCCATGACCTGTAGTTTTCTGCGAATAGGTCTTTTATTTCTTTGGTTCAGTTTATTTCTAGGTATCTTAATTTTTTTGCCGCAATGGTAAATGGGATTGTTTTCTTAGTTTCTATTTCTGTGAGTTCATCATTGGTGTATAAGAATGCCATCGGTTTCTTGACGTTAATTTTGTATCCTGCTACTTTTCCAAATTCATTTATTAAGTCTAGTAAATTTTTGATAGAGTCTTTGTAGTTATTTTTTTATTTTTAATTAATTATTTTATTTTTGTTACAGATGTTTCTCCTTTTTCTCCCACTGATTCCCCCCTCCCATTCCCTCCCCACCTTGTCCCCAGCCTTGTTGTCCATGTCCATTGTTCATACACACATGCATATAAGTTCTGTGGTTTATCTCTCCACCCCCAGGCCCCTGTTCTGGGGATTGTCAGTCTGTACCTCACTTCCACGTCTCTGGGACTACCCCATTCCTCAGACTGTTATGTTCATTATATTTCACAAATAAGTGAGATCATATGATACTTGTCTTTCTCTGTTTGTCTTGTTTTGCTTAGGATAATACTTTCCAGGTCCCTCCATGTAGTCTCAAAGGATAAGAGATCTTTCTTTCTTACAGCTGAGATGCCTCTTATTTTAGACTCCTCCTTCTAAAGCATGACCACCTTCAAGAAAGTGCATACTCTTAACTTTTTGGGAATCTTACCCCCACCTTGCTTTTTCCCACCTCTGAGTAATCTTCCTTAATATTTCCTCCTTAATTTCAAATGCATAAAAGAAATTGCAAACCATTAATTTCCAGAGCGATTAAGATCTTGCTTCCTGGGAATTGTCAACAATTTTGGTTCAGATAAATTGTTATAAAAACCATTAATTGGTTTGGATGTTTCTTATATTGACATTAGTAGTTACAGTTTTGAATACCACCTCTTAAATGAATGCTTAACATTATGCTAACTATTTGATAAGTTTTCCAAACAGGTTGATTATTATCTATTTTCCTGTTTATTGTCTTGTTGGCGGGGTGGCAAAATGTGCGTACATAGATGTGAATGGCTGATAAATAACATTTTATTTTTAAAAATCCATAATATAAAATTTGTATTATTTAAAGCCCATTTACATTGGTGGAAAACCAGCATGTTATCGGTGTTGCTGTTCAAGCTGGGAACTAACAACTTGTTGGGTGTAGATGAACCATTTAGAGTTTTCATTACTTTCCAAGAATTGCCTTGAGTCATTGAGATCAAAAGAAAAAAATAGCAACAAACTACATTCAAGAATCCAGTGAAAAACTAGTTTTCTGAACATCAGTTAGCAGTTTATTATGTAGTTATATACACTCAATTTTTGTGAACAAACCATTATTGCGTAAATGAACATCAAACCCTCCTCACTGAGAAACAGTGTGTTCTGTCATAATCTAATTTTCATTTCTTTTGTTCATGTTTCACAAACCCTCTTTTCGATGCTTCTGCTTCCGCACCACAGGCACTGAAGGCTGCCTTTGCTCCGGTCAAAGCCCTCACTACCCTGTTGTTGTTTTGAGAAGGTGACTTGTCTTGTTCGTGGTGACACATGTTTTAGGCTCTGCCGCCAGCACCACGTCGCTGGGAAGTTCTGCCCTCACCGTTTGCCCAGGCTGCCTATGATTTCCCGGATTGACTCCCCAAAACACAAATTTAAAATTCTGAGTTAAGAAAAGCTAAGGAGAGTTTATTATTGAAAGACTTCTCTGAGTTCTTAATATGTTATAAGTTAAAAAAATAACCTTTTAAATTATTTTTTTTATTTATTAATTTTTGTTTAATCTTCACCTGAGAATATTTTTCCACTGATTCTCAGATGGAGGGGTGGTGGGGCGTGGGGGCGGGAGAAAGGGGCGTAGGAAGAGAGAGAGAGAGACAGACAGACAGACATCGATTGTTTGCCTCCCATATGACCCGGACCAGGGCCAGGGATCCAATCTGCAACTGAGGCATGTCTTTGACAGGGAATGGAACCCATGACCCTTCAACTCTCCAACTGCTGAGCCAAACCAGCCAGGGCTATTTTTATTTTTCAATTACAGTTCGCATTCAAAATTACTTTGTATTAGTTTTAGGTGTACAGCATAGTGGTTAGATAATCATATACTTTACAAAGTGGTCCCCCCAATATTTCAAGTGTGTATAGTGCCACCTGGCACTATACATATTTATTACAATGTTTCCAATAAAAATCTTGAGGAGCCCTATCAGCTGTGAAATTTAAGAGCTTAAAGATGACATGAACTTACTTCTGGCTCTTGAGTAAAATAATTGCCCTATGTGCATCAATGTAATTCTATAAATTAACAAATATACAGATTTTATCACTGGAAGGGACACATCATCAAGATGCTGTTGTCCCTCCAAGGCAAGAATCCTTCTACCACATACTCCTGGGTTTGAATCACTTTCGATCATGGGAACTCACTACTTCCCCAAAGAGTTGTGCCTGGTGTTCTGTAGAACCTTCCTCTTGGTACCTTTGCCCTGTTACTGCTGCCTTCTGCCCCTGTGGTTAGAATGCAATTAAACCCTCTCCGTCTGACAGCCCTTCAGTTAAGTCCACTTAGATCCTCACCCTTCTAGAATCTTCTCTTCCTCTTTCTTCCAGTGTTATATCTAAATTTTCCTGGGAGATGAGATTCTTTCTCCCTCCCCATCTCCTTGCCCTTGTCTGGATTCAGGGTCTTTTTTGAAATGTGTTGTTTGGGAAGGCTGTGAATGTAACCCATGAAATGCAAGAACGCTTTGAATTTTTATTGTTCTTAGACAAGTAACAGTAAATAATGGTTTTACTTTATTTCTAGACAGTTATATCTACCAGACACAACCTTTGTCCCCAAACACCGCGTTCACTTGGCACAAACTTGACCTCACACCTAAGTCAGCTTTTCTTGAACCCTCATCTGAACAAACGTTCATTTTAATCTGCGGATATCCCGTGCGGCGTCAGGAAGGGCCGGCCTGGGCACTGCTGGCTCAGTGAGTCTGCCCCCACGCTGCAGATTTCATTTCCTTTTTCTCTTTTGAGTTAAAGAAGTAAGTCAAAAAATCCATTTCTGCTAATATCTTAGACAACGCAAGGGGTTCCAGACTCAGGAAGCTGCTTTCATCAAGGTAATAAAGAGACCACGGAAAGCAGAAAGAAGGCCAGGGGACACCGACACGGAAGTATCACTAAGATAACCTCCAGGGATGTGGGTGGGGAGCCCACTGGGGAGCCGGTGGGCTGAGGCTGGGAAGGCGCCAAATGAGAGAAGAGGAAAGACCAGCGGTCCGGCGCCCCCGCGTGGACGCGCGCGGGAGTTCAGGCTGGGGGAGTGAGTCACCACGTGCTGCAGAGGCGGGGACAGGGTCATCCTCTTATCTGAAAGGGTGCAGGGCGGGACAGAAACAAACAGGCAGACAGGCAAGGTGAGAGGTTAGCAGGTTAGCCTAGTCCTTCCTACCAGCTTGCCAAGAGCAGGCAGAGGGAGGGTCCCGTTTAGACCCTCAAACCCCTGGACGCCGAAAGGGACTGCACGTCTCATCCCTTTTAAGTTTGCTCCGAGGGATTTCGGCAGAAAGACAGGAAGAGGAGGTGGGGTTCCACAAAGAGTGCGGTTTTACTTTTTAGAAACTGGTGGTGGTTTGGGGCTTTATATCCGGGAGGAGCCTGTGTCCTCACACTGTAAGCAATTCCTGGGTCGTTTGCAAACCGGCTACGGGGCAGTTGGCCCCATGCCCGGCCGAGCGTTCGAGGGCTCCGGCCACGCAGTGCTCCTGGGGCCGGCCGGCGGGTGGCCCGGTGGCCTTTATCTCTGTCTCCCCTTTGTCCTCTTTATCTCAGGCTCTCCAGGAGGACCGGGGGCCTGCTCTGCCTATCGCTCCCCACCCCCTGCTGCACCGCCACTTCAATGCCCCGCAGGTCGTCCGCTGCAGCTCTTAAGAAGGCGGCGGAGCACAAGGGGCGCCCAGTGTCACCGCTGACTCTCCCCAGCGCCGGCGCCGACGCCTGACCCGCGCGCCCTTGGGCACCGATGCCGGTGCGCCCCGCGCGTCCCGGTGCGCTCCAGCCCGCTTGGGGCCCGCGAGGGGCAGCCCCGGCCAGGATGGCCCCGGGCTGGGCGGTGGCTGGGCTCCTGCTGCTGGCGGCGGCGAGCCTCGGAGGGGCGGCGGCGGGGCCCGGGCTCGCCTTCAGCGAGGATGTGCTGAGCGTGTTCGGCGCGAATCGGAGCCTGTCGGCGGCGCAGCTCCGGCACTTGCTCCAGAGGCTGGGAGCCGGCCCCGCGGAGGGCGCCCTGCAGCCGGCGCAGCTGCACTTCAACCAGGTATGGCGCCGCTGGGGGCTCCTCTGTGCTGTAGACATCTGTTTGTACATGAGAGCTATTTAGGTGGAAAAAGTGCGGGAGAAACAATTTCGACGTTTTTCAAGTATGAGGCGGTGCCGGGTGGCACTTGATTTTCGCCAGACCAGGCTCCTTAGCCAGGGTTAAAGCGCTGATGGGGCTGAGGGAGCCAGAAACTGCAGCTGATGAGCTGAGCGATGAGACGCTTGTGAATATAAGACTTCATAGAGAAGTTTATGAAGCAGTTTAAAGCGGAAGCCCCTTAAGAGTACTTTTTAGATAGGAATGGAGTACTTAAATCTTCCCAGCAAAGCTACTGGTTCACCTGTCACCCACGTTAACAGTTGCTTGGGGGTAACAGCGGCCCACGAGATTGATATAATGTAGCTCTGCTTTGTGTACACCAGGCATTTAGACCCGAAGGGACTTACTGTACAGAGAGCAAATAACATAATACCTGTTAATAAATTTCAAAACGGATGATGTTATAGATTGTTAGTTATTTTTATAATACATGTTCTGTGAGTATTTCTTAAAATTATGAAGTAGGCAAAGTGTGCTTTCTGCATCCTCCCCAAACTCCTCCCGCCTTTGAAAAGTGTTAACTCAGTGCCTTGATTTTTTTCCCCTTCTGCCCTTGTTTCGGAGAGAACGGATGGTGCAGTATCTTCCATATTGTCCTTCACTTCTGGCCCATGTTAGTTTGTGTTATAAAAAGTTTTTGTGGTCCAAGATGTTTGGGAAATACTGCACTGTACACTCCACTCTTGGAAATGTAGCATTTCCTAATGTATCTGACCTTAGATTACAGTTAGGGAAACTTGAATCAGATGAACTCCTTGCTGAGAACATTACAGATAGGTGGGCATTCTTTTTGTTAAAAACATATCACCTCAATTCATCTCAAGAAGAAGAACGTTCTGATGCCATGGAATATCAGAGGATGACTTCCCTTTGAACTAGAAGGGGTTTGTGGTTCACTTATGCATGTTCTTTAATAAGCTATAGTTCTAGCTCTGGCATGGTCTAATGAAACTTTTGATCTAATGTCTAAGATATATGTTGGCAAACAAATTCCCACATATTATATTGATATTTGGAAGAGAAAATAACATAAACAACTTCCTAAGTATTTTCTGTCTAGTTGCAGTTTCTTCAAGTAGGGGGAACAGCTGAGCTGACTAAGGTATTTCTAGGTAGGAATAGGAGTGGTCATAGGCTTGGGAAGAAACTTGGGGACTTGACTTGCAGCTATATATCTGTAGCCCACACATTGTTTTGACTTAAATTATCTCCTTATCTCCTAGTGTCTGGATGTGTTGACGAATTATAAAGAGACAAAAGACCTCTAAGCCACCCCTTGGCAAAGACACTGGAAATATGTCTAAATTATTTTTAAAAATTGGTAAAGTTTATTAGCACTATGATTTCTAGTTTGTGAGTAAGTAGGATGCCTCAATAGATATATTATATGTATGTTGACACCTTGTTTCTCATTCTTACATTTACATATTTACCCTCATTATGACCTCTGTGCGCATCAAAAAGAGACAGGAAGAAGCCCATAATTACGTTGAAAACAAAGGGAAGCCAAGGAAAATCTATCACTTAATCAGGCCTAACAAACAACAATTTGATGTTCTAAAAGTCCTGATGAAAACAACAATCATCAAACAAAATGATGACAAATAAAATAGAGTCCAGCCCAGCTGGTGTGGCTCAGTGGTTGAGCTTCAACCCATGCACCAAGTGGTCGCCGGTTTGATTCCCAGTCAGGGGTCAGGGCACATGCCCAGGTTGTGGGCCAAATCCCCAGGGTGGGGCATGCAGGAGGCGGCCAAGGGATGTTCTCTCTCATCGATGTTTCGGTCTCTCTCTCCCTCTTCCTTCCTCTCTCTCTAAAATCAATAAAGAAAAAAAAAAAAAAGAAATAGATTCTAAAATAATCTATTAATTTGCTGGCATTCATTTGCTCCAGCAGGAAACCATCCAATTTGCAGCAAAATTTAGGGCCATTAATACCTGCATACCTCAAAGAATGCAACTTGAGTCTCCTCACCTGTAACAAAATAGAATAAACAATGCATGGGCTAATTGTGAGAAGCTTGATTTTTTTTTTGACTTTGCAAAAGGTGAAGAAAATAGAATTGATTTCTATGGGTCAGGGACTTACTGAATCTTCTGTGGGATCTATTTACAAATGACATTGTTCCTTTGGATGAGGGCTGTGATATTTCTTCTGCCAACTTAACTCAGGTCATTGACTACTGTACTTTGGAGATGTACACATTCTGGAAGGTTTTCTAATATTTTTTCAGTATTTTTAAGTACTATTAAGTTAACTTGTTGCTTTGGGAGACCAAAGTGACCTAAGTTCAATCTGGTGACAATAGAACTGATGAGTTCATTGTTTTGTTTCAAGGTTACTGAGGGAGCCCTTGAGTTTAGTGGGTTCGGGAAGTGACAGGGTATAAGTCTGACCTATGTCAGGTAATTCCTAGAATACATAGAGAAGCCCCAACTAAACGCATACTTTGGGTGATTAATTCAGAGGATTTAAAAATGGCCTCGGTGCTTGCTTATTTGGATGTTATTTTTTCATTCTCCAAATGTTCTTTTCTCTTTATTTCCTCTTCAAAACCCCTCACCTCCAAGTTCTTATTGTCGACACTGATTAAATAGATTGGTAAAAAAGATCCCCATTCTCCAAATTATCAGATGAAGCTGATTTGAATAAATCTGTGCTCCAGGGAGAGTTGTTGGGGGTGCTGGAGAAGGGGAGAACCTTTGCTTCACACCATCACTCAACTCACACTTTGCTTCTTTCTCTTAACTCTCTTTTTTTCTTTGGATACATACTTTGCTACGTATCTCCTGCATTGTTTTTTTCTTTTCACATTACTATCACCAGCTTGCCTCAACACTGTTTGCAAAAACCCCTTTCAATTCATATTCCAGCTTCCTAAAGCAGTACTTGGAGTATGCCCATCTCCTTTCAGAACTCTGCTGGTGCAGGCTAACTCTTGAGCCTGGCATTCCACCCCTTGCCCCTCCAGGCTGACCCTGAAAAGTTACCTACCTCTCCAGACCAAGCACTCACTAAACAAAACCATTTACTCTTCTGTGAATTCACCTTACATTTTCTCACCCATGTCTTAGCTTATTATCTTTCTTGCACCCTCCTATTTCCAACTGGAATGTCCTTTTTTTTTTGGTACGTGCCCATAGCGGAAACCGAACCTGGGACTCTCTCTAGTCCACAGGCTAACGCTCCAACCCCTGAGCCAAACAGGCCAGGGCTGGAATGTCCTTCTGTTCCTAGAATTGCCCCAACACAATCCTACATTTTTAATTGCCCAACTTTCTATGTCACTCCTCCTCCGTCAGACCTTTCCAGGGCGTCATAGCCGGCACGGATAGGTTGTTTTCTCTCACTTTTTGAATAACTGAAATGTTTTTTATTAGGTTAATGACACATAACCATTCACGTGTTCAACAAATACTTTGAATGACTACTGTGCTCTACAGGGCTCATTTTAAAGTTCAAATCTAATCATATCACTCATCTTAGTAAAACAATCAAATCCCTTCAAGATAAACGTCAAGCACATTAATATGGCTTAAGCCCTTTCATGATCTGGTTCCTGTATATTTCTTAAGCTTTGTCCTTTGCCACTATTACAGTCCTTTTTTTTTTTTTTTTAAGTTCTTACCCAAGGATATATTTTCATTTATCTTCAGACAGAGCGAGAGGGAAGGAGAGAGAGAGAAATATCGACGTGAGAGGGACACATTGACTGGTTGCCTCCTACACAACCTAGACCAGGGCCAGGGAGGAACTAAAACCCAAGTACATGCCCTTGACTGGAATCAAACCCGTGAGTCATTGGTCCGAGGGCCGATGTTCTAACCGCTGAGCCAAACCGGCCAGGGAGCCACTACTACAGTCTTAATGGACTGCCAATAGTTCCTGGTTTTTCATATACACCTGCTCGTGCTTCAGGTATCTGTTTAGACATTACTTTTTTTGAGAAGCCTTTCTTGGTCTGCTCAAGGGTTTGGTAGGAGCCCCTTTTGCGTGATCCTATATGAATCAATGCCTATGCAGTTCTAACGTATTATATGTTGCAATTATGTTATAATGTGTACATAATTTAGTATGTATTACAATTTTCTGTTTATATGGCTACAACTTTTCCACTTCCTTACCTCCTCCCACAATTTCAAACAAATTGAAGAGAATGACATAAATTTTCTTTCTAAGAGCTAGTATAGTGCCTGGTATATAACATGTATTTATTACGTATATTTTGAATAAATGAGTGAAGATTGCTTAATATGAGTAAGATAAGTTAGGCCCTCACATGACTTTATAGTTTATTGGGAGGAGGTATGATGTATGCATATGTAGTTATCATGCATAATAGGATGATATGTCTAATTAGAGAATTATAAGCAAAAGTGAAATGGGATTAGACTTGTGTTTTCAGAAAATTTATCTGCATGAGAGTGTGGACAGTGTTGAGGTGGGTCCAGAAGGGAGCTAAGGAGGGAACTGCAGGGGTTTGCATGAGACGTAACGATGGCTTGAACCTGGAGACAGGCCGTAGGGAGCGTAAAGGCTCTGTCTTCTGGAGAGCAGGCATGGCCGAAGAGTGGACAAAAGAGCCCCAAGATAGATGTCGACACTCAACCACTGAGCCACACTGGGCAGGCTAAATATTTTCTGCTTCAGTCTTTTGCCTGTTGTGGTCATTTAGCTATTGTTAGATCTTTTTCTTTATTAATTTCTGGCCTGATGACTCTAGGGGAGAGGTAGGGAGGTCACTCTTGGTTTATTTTTCAGTGGATGGCCAGGCTAATGGTATATAGCAAACAGAAGGTGTGTGTGTGTGTGTGTGTGTGTGTGTGAATGTGATACAGTGTGTGTGTGTGTGATTATACATATATACATTGTATGCATAGTTTGTTGTCATCTGCTG